CCCCCCCAACTCCAAATACATATAAATCAGGGTTAATTAATGAATTATCCCAGTGGTTTTACATATTTTGAAATAAATGGGCACAGGATCCCTGAGGCACACCACAAAACCAAGATCTCCTAGTAAATCTCTTTTCACACCACAACCAACTGGAATTGTCCCCTCAGTAAGGAGAAGAACTTCTTTAAATAATATTCCAGTCCCTTCAAAGTGATCCAGAACGATGGCCAGGATGGTAGTTTGAAAGCCACCAGGTGATCAAGGAGGACCAGGATGGTTGTACTCTCTCAATTTTTCTCTCCACAAAAGTATTCAACAGCATATCTAACAGTATCTAGGATTGTTGGATCATGTAAGACTTCTTGAGCAAGAGATATAACATAGCTTCCTTCAGACAAAAAGGAAATGCCTCCTTATCCTATGAAACATTTGAATCTAATCTCCAGTCACTTCAGTAGAGCCCTTGAGGACTATGAGAACAAAAGAACCAATGGGGAGTAGAACTTAGACTTCCCAGCGATTCACAGATTCAAGATGGAGCCTCATCATCTCCATGGATAATGTCAGTATCCAACTACTCCCAAATGGAAATAAAAATTCAGGGTGAGGCTTACCTGCACAGCTCCATCCTGCTCATTTATTATATTATATTCTACTCAGCCATAACTTCGATATATATGTGTTTATATTAGAGGTTTCATTTTACTTGTTGATTACATCATCAAAAGGTAACTGTTAAAGTGTAAAGACTAATAACTAATTAACTAAAAAGCTATATTGAGCTATTCAAAAAAAGCTACTTTAATCTTCCATGAGAAAATTCATATTGCTGAATTCTCTAAATTGTGGCAGGATATTAAAGGACCATAGACTTTTCAATGTCAGAAAGGACAATTGGCTGTCAGAGGCCTTTTCATTTTAATGAAACCTAAGCAGCCAGTGGGTTTCTAAAAGTAGAATTGAGGAAAGGAACATTACAAAGCAAACTCAAGGAACTCTTGGAATCACATGATTAAAGACATATCCTTATCCAGAAAAAAATAGAAAAATAAGTTATGCCATTCTAGAACTATCATCACATTGTAGAGCAGTTAGAGAACATATATCTCTAACTATGGAAGAAGGAAGCAGAGGAACTACCACATCTCACCCAAGATAGAAAAAAGGGGACTGATATTGTAAACTGTTCAGCTACTGTAATAATTCAATAGGATGATTCAAGGCTTATGTAAGCCAAAAACCTACCCACAAGAAGTTTCTTTTTATGTTTCTGAATGATCCTACTACTCTGGTTGTGCCTCCCTCAAATTAAATGTTACTTACTGTAAAATTAATCACCTTGAAAAAATTTCACTTATGAGAAGCATGTACTCTAATATCAACTCAGAGGGGGGGAAAGCTGAGTTTTCATTATGAGAAATTTGGGAAACACTACTATAAGATGGACTAAATCAATGGAGAAATTGATACTACCTCTCCTGATGTATCTATTTTAATTTAGTGGCAGATGTTGCAAATTATATGTTCATTCAAACAGCTGCCATTTTTTGCCTCTGGTATACAGAAATTATTTCTTTATTCTGCCAGATTAATTCTGGAAAAAAATCTATAATATAGGAAAGGTATAGCCAATATGTTTCTGACTAAGGTGAAGTCTCTTCCTTTACTATATGGAAAACTCAAGTGAATTAGATTGAAACTGAAGGATACAATAGTAGAGTGGGACAATCCACACTACTAAACAGAAGTAGTAGATAAAGAAAATATGTCACATTCAACATTGTCTTCCTTGTTATTCCCATCTCCAAGCATCTGATTAAGATGATTCAACATAAAGATAATTACTTGTCATTTCAGCAAATATTTGTAATGTGAGGATTCCAGACATTGTTTAGATGTGCTTTTATAGGTCTACTTTGCAACAACATAATGTGAATATCTTATATTGTTTCAACTGCATTGGTGCATCATATTGAGTTGACCAACTTAGCAATAAGTTTTACAGCATGTGCTTTCTGGTCATTTCTGGTAATTCCACCTGAGATGTTTAGATAATAAAGTATACCAGTCTTCCCCACTTACATTTTTCAGAATAAAATCCCTATCCACCCTACCCTGTCTAGGATCATTTGAATTAAAAACTATAGCATCCTGAAAAGTAAATTTGAGAAAATTTACTCTGTTCCCTATGTGAAAATATATGGAAATCCCATTATATCAAATCATGTTTAATTTAATCAGGATATAATTGATGAGAGATCTCTCTAATGAGAGATCGATATATTTGCCAATCCAAATAAAAATAAGACAATATAAGCCATTGCATAGCTTAACATGTAATACATTTTCTGTAAACAAAAGATATCCTATTCATTTTCATTGCAGAAAGAAACTATACGCTGTTCCCTTAAGTGAAAGAAAAAAATATCTGGCTTTTAAAAAAGCCAAAATAACTACAAAATGGAAGCATGTTATCAGTCAGAAATGTTTAAGAGGGGGGAAGATTGTAACTTTAAATAAGTAGCAATTTAACGCTTGCTTCATTACGTTTCCAGGATAGAAAGATTACAAGTGGCTTGCAGAAATATGGCATTCACTAATAGGTTTTTTTTAAAAGAAATCAGCTAAATTTTATTAATCTTGAATGTTATCTGTCAGTTGGATAATTCTAGTGTCCCCTTATGAAAGAAATAAAATACCTTGGCTTGAATAAAACAGGAGAAAATTACTCTGCCCCCATTCAATTAACCAATAGCCTCTAAACTTATGAACAGAGCGAATTATGTAATGCCACAACCAACCAAATAGAATCAGTTCTTCCTGTAAGTATGCCCTCTATAGACTCATTGCAATAGTGATATATTTTAAGGAAATTGTAAGCATGTTGGCATTGCTTGGTTAACTTAAAATATTGTTACTATTACTGCACCACGGACTTTATTGAGCAATGAAAAATATACACAAAGGGACAAACTTTCCTTGGGGATGGAAGAGTACTTTTTTCCCTCAAAATTTGACTTTCTTCAATTGAAGAAACCCATTTCAAATAGAAAAGGGCACTTATTTCTACAGTAACGGTGTACATCTTGAGTATATCGATATTCAGCCATTGTTGTAATTATGCTTCCAAGTTGCTCAGAGATCTAAAATACTTCATATTTGGGGAGTGATCAAGATAATTAAGTTGTTCTTTCAGATTCTATTTCTCCATAAAGTTCAGCTAGCTTCTTGAACTCTGGTCCCCAGTCACCAAGATAATTATAATCCTGGTCAGAATGTGTAGTAGCTGAATCCAAAGAGCTGATAGATCCGGCTTCTGACCTTTGACCTTCATATGCATATGTCTGAAGAGAATCATATGGGGGCACACTCAGATCAAGGTCTGCTTCAGCCAGCCTTTGCTTAATAAATTCATGAACATCTATGTTGTCAAGATGAGATGAAGTAGGGTGCTTGGTTCCGGGCTTCACCTCTGGCCGAACATCCCTCCGGAATTTCAATTCTTCAGCAGCAGATGGGTTCCTCAGAGCGGTAATGTCAAAAGCTTCAGTATCCTCCTCACCTCCACCCTCATCATCATAAGTGACAACATTTTCCCGGACATCCTCCTCTGAAATGACCAGAGGCTCCTTTTTGCTGCGTTTTAATGTGATGAACAGGACCACTATTGCTGATGAGAAAAATTTAGAATAGGAAATTAGTAGGGCTGCCAACTGGTAACTCATTCTAGTTGACTGATTAGCTGCATTTTGGCAGAGTTATCTAACGTTATATTCATTTTAGTTGTTTTCTTTCTTTTCTTTTCTTTTTTTGGAAAAGAAAAGGCTAAAATTAATCTGTGCCTTACTAGTACATCAATGTAACTTGTTCTTTGAGATAATTATAACTCCAAGATAAAATAATATTTTCCTATCAGCTAATATGATCACCAAATAGCCACGTATGTTCTGGAATTAGATACTCAATTTCTGGACCGGAGTTGGGCTATTTGAGCCAAAATAATAAATACAGTAACAATAAGATGCTATAATATTTCTCAAGAAAAAAAAGGTAATAATTTTCTTTCACTCATTACAGTAGTACAAGAAGACCCACAGATATAAAAAAAAACAACCCTCCTATTGATTAAATGTAGAACAAATGTAGAAATGCCTTGATTTATGAACATATTAAGATGATTACATTACTAGAAACTAAAGAGTGTGGCTGACAGGAAAAATGAACTCATAGATTTATGCTGGCATTTTGCTGAAAAATTCCTTGTAATAGATAATATATAATCTATATCTATGCAATATTGGCATGTCCACATATATATCTGCAGCATTTGCCTCTAATCATTCTAATAATGTGTGAGTTTTTGCATTAATAGCTTGATAACAGTTCACATTATAGAAAAGCTGCATCTTCACAACTTAAACATTTAGTAAACTATTATTATTAGTCAATAATAATAATATGAGTACCCTCAAATCCCAAAACTGAAAAGTAAGCATGGAAGGCCTCTTAGACCAATGTTTCTCAGTATTAGCCACTTTAAGATGTGTGGGCTTCAATTCCCAGAATTCCCCAGCCAGCAAGTCTATACATCTTAATGTGGCTAAGATTAAGAAACAGTGCTTTACACTTTATGGGGGCTATACATCCCAAATTCCCACCTTAGCACCTATATTGAGCACAATAGGAGAAAAGGATTTCAGTGTCACAGGAAAACACCTATTTCATTTTAATCAGAAATCTGCAAACACAGTACTAGAATTTAAGACACCTTGTGTAGAAGAGAAACAATCTTGTTTATATATTGAAGCTATTTGAGAAATATACACTGAATAATTTCTGTATTTTAATAAAACAGCCTTGCTCAACTATTCTAGAGATGTTGGAACAATAACTCTCAAGCATAATAGCCAATACGGTGGCTAAAATTCTGAGGCCTGGCAGTTGAGGATGAACTTTAGATTTATTGACTTAATCGTATGCAATTGAGAAAAGAGGTATATAGTCATTATATATATATATATATTCTCAGCTGAGTGAATTTGGGTGAATGGATAAATGGACAGATAGTTTGAAATTCAACCAATTGAGAATATTAGCTAATGGATACTATTCAAATGAGTCTAAGTACATGAACTCATAAAGTGTTCTGAGAAAAAGCATTTCCAAGGACATTTAACTAATGGAATGATCTTCTTGCTTCATCTGTCCCTTGCTCCTCTTGATGAGCCTCGGACTGTTATCAGCTCATCCCACAGAGCGATAATTAGCACATAGCTTTCTTATTCTCCCTTTCTTTCTTCAGGCAGGGGGATCCATTTCAAAAGGACTCTCTTCATCTCTTTTTCCCTGAGTGTATTAGCCTGCAACCTGAGTTGGTGGTTTCCTGAAATCTTACCTGGCAGATCGATAACGCTAATTACTTACTGACCTCTGCAAAATTAATTCTGCTAGATGCCAGAAGCTCAGCCATTTGCTTTAAAGATTTCCTTGTCCTATCAATTTAGTTCAAGCTTGGAATTATTCATTTTTAAGCCAGAACCCTGCATTTCTAGCTACTGCTTATCAGAAACAATTCCTAGTTCAGTTATATTTTTTAGCGTTTGCCTCACACGGTTTCAGGTTTTCTTCATTTTTGCACCACATTGACTTAGGTGTTTTACGGAACCTATTAAGGAAGGAGTTTGATTATCAATTGACTTGTTGCAGAGTTTGATACTGAAAAGGGTTGAGAGGGAGCGACTGGCCCAAGATTTCTATGCCTGGGGAGGATTAAACCAGGGCTGTCAAACTCCCAGATGTGTCATGCACTGCCCACGCCCAGTTTAGTGAAGGGGGAAAAAAGCCCTCATACATCACATGATGCTGCTGTGACAATGTGAATTTGACACCCCTGGATTAGATCCTGAGTCTCCCTACTCCTAGTCCAGGACCTTAACCACGACATCATAATGGCTTTTTGCAGTTCCTGGTTCAGTCCTACAACTCACGTTGCTGTTGGGATTATCTGAAGGTTCCAGAAAGGAAAGTAATTGGGGACTTACCCAGGAGAATGACAACACATAGCAGGATGGCAATTAACGCTCCTGTGCTCAATCCTGAAGATGAGAGGAAAGCTTCTGCATGGCAGGTCCGCACACGGCCATCTCTTTCACATGCACATACCCGTATAACAAGAGTGGCACTACTGCTGAGAGGTGGGACCCCTCCATCAGAGATGACAATGGGAAGGTAATATACATCTTGGATAGTCCGACTAAATCTTCTCCTTCGGGTCAGGATGCTGGCCGTATTATCTATAGCAGCAAGGATGAGATGAAAGTAGTGTTAACAAAGATGATAGAAATATACCTAGAATACATTTTATCTTTTGTTTTGCATTTTCAACTTCTTGTGAATGTTCTGGTAATCCTTAGTAACACACTATAGTAAACTCTGGAACTGCTTGTATAGGAGAGCCTCATGACGTGTTTTGGGTCATATTATGGATCCTGGAATACTGTGAAAA